GTGATGTAAAACGTGGTTGTGGTGAATTGGGGAAAGCAGGTTGTTGATTGGTGGTTTGTGTTTTGCTAAGATGTATAGCTGGTTTTATCGGCAATTTGGTATTTAGACGACGCGTGGGTCCAATAGGATTATCGTTAAACTTAACTTGTTTTTTCACTGGCTTGTCATCGGCATTTAAACGCTAAAATATTGAAGCAATAATTAGTGAATATTTGCCCTAAATCATAGGTAAATTGCAAGTGAATGCAAATCATGAAACTTACCAACTGCTTTGAGCCACACTCGCTGATTCGTGGATTATCTTGCGCTTCGAATATTTTGCCCTCAAATTCTCGACGCCTATCACTTGGTCCATTTACATTATCTTCCATTAACAATCTGCGGTTAGATGGAGATAAAGGTTGGGAATAGATGACTTTACCCTCACAAGTATCGTGAAACTCCATATCCTCATTCCCAAAACGCTCCGGGCCAATATCAAGGCTAAATCTTGGTGAGTTTAACAAGTGCATATTTTGCTTGCCATTAACGGTGAAAGTGTTAACAATAAGCGGCAATGACGCGGCGGCTGATGTTGACGGCTTTTTACCAGCAGTAACACTACCACCTTCACTTGCACCCTCAGACTCAGACTCATCCACCCCGTAATCGTCCGTTGTTTTCACATAAGGGGATTGTCTACTTGTGGTGTGCTTTTCATCACTTGAATTAAATTGCTTTTTAGATTTTGGCGCTAGATAAGTTCTAAGGCCATTTGGGGCAATCCCGCTTGCGGTCAGAGCATCATCTTCCGATGCAGCCTTATCATCCGTAGTGCTGCTATCCAAGCTTGTGTAGTCAGTATCGACAGCGTCACAATCTTGATAAGATTCTGTTGGATCTAAAATGCTGCCCGAAAACAATTCTCCGTCTGAGTCTGAGTCCAAGCAAATAACCATTTCGGTCTCGTCTGCCTGCACTCTCTCGGATGCTCTCTCTTTCAAATCTTTAAGCCAATCTAAAGAATGCTCCACGTACGTCATTCGAGACGGTTGCTCATCTTCAAGAGTAAGATCGACGCATTCAAGCGGCTCTGGTGTGACGGCGCGTCGATTTATACGCTTTTGATGCTTCAATCCAGCTGCGTATGTGGCACCAAAATCCCAAAGTGGCGTTGCATTTATAACGTCATCCTGTAAGTTTAAAATAAAATTATAATTAAAAAATATGCTTTTTTGAGAAGAAAAATTTGCTTTTGGTGCTGCCATCTCAGTTATTGTTTTAGTCATTTACTTAAGGAAACAATCAAAGTGAAAAACAGTGGTGGCGACTAACTGCACACAATTGCTTCCACTAAGATGTTTAACTTAAGCATCAGACCTTTTACTTGAACATCATAGCGAGGATTAAAATGTAAAAGTATTTTTTTTTTGTTATTGGAACGGCATGACTAATTCCTGCCTAAAGCGGCTAGTCTATTAAATGTGGACGTAAAGCTCACTTTAGGGTAACAGGAAACGTGCCATTTCGATAGTGACTGAATGGAAATGAGTGGGGTTAAAAGGAACACTAACAAATTTTGCCAATTTTTCTTTTAATATTTCCTAATCTTTTATAAAAATACATCTCATTATCTAACAAAAACCATATAAATTCATATTTCAAACTTTGTGGTAGTTTCCATATTAGTCCTTGATATATATTGTTTCAAAAATAAATATTGGAAATTTCCAAGGATATTCAAGGATAAAGTTTTAAAAGGACATCCGTCCTGGTGCACCAAAAAATTATTATTATTTTTTAATTCTACAAAATTTTTCCTTTTAATTGGTACCCATATTGTTACTCTGCATTGCACCAAATTTAGAAAAAAAAAAAAATTATAAATCATATCCCAGAAATTTCAAAGTCCTTTAAAATAATCCTGACTTCAGAGAGAAAAACTAAACACGCAGTTTTACTATATTTGGCCCCCAGATTTGAGAATACATTTACTTTTTTCGTGTGTAAAATTGACTGTCACACGGTGTAATATGTTAAGATATGATTGGAAAAAAATGTTTTTTGTATACATGTTTGTTAATTATGTTTTCTTGTAAAAATGAATAGACTCCCTGAAGAAGACACAATAATGTGTCGAGGAGGCAGAAAAGACAAACCAACGCTTTTGCTTTAAATTCAACGGCCGAAAAGCTCCAAATATACAAAACAAACAATTTTGTATACATTGGCCCAACTTAAAAACTAGAAATATAGTAAAAATTTGTTAAAATGTCGTGTCCCCATTAATTTGTCCACCACTGTAGGTACCAGTGGCCTGCACGATTATGTTAGTATCGTACGAATACGTTATTAACTAACACTTCTGACGATTACCACAATGCGAAAGTAGCATAGCATCGTGTGATTACTAACAGCATCGTCGATTAGTAACAGCATAGCAGAGTAATAATTCTGCTAATAAATTGGCAGCGGCTGCATCGTCAATAGCAGTGTGACCAGATAATCCCAGATCCATATTAACTATACTTGCATAGTGTATTTTTTTATTTACTTCAGCATAAATTAATTCATAAAGTCATAGAAATTAAACATATTTCAATTTAGCAAAAACGATAGCATAAAGTAGGAGTGAGAAATAAAAAAATAATTTTAATTAACTAATTTTCAATACCCATTCGTCCTCGTAAACCAAACCATTTTATTTGTTTTAACCCACAGAATTTCCTCTTTCATTAGTATAAACAGAACGGGTTCGCTGAGTAAATTTCGTCGGACGGAGCGATGCCGCCGGATGATATTCGCTTAAAATTTTGTCAAGTAAAACTGAACCGGAACAATAATTTAGTGCTACTAGAAATATTGTGGAAGATTGTCCTTAAAAAATGCTAGTTTGAACATAAGAAAAGGCTAGAAAAAAGCCACGAAGCTAAATCCTAAATTTCGAAGCTAAACGACAAAGAAAAAAGCTAGATCTAGCCTCAAAAAGGCTAAACTGGCAACACTGTTACTGTGTCACGCTCACGGTTGCCACATTTTATAAATGTAGTAATAGTGGATATTTTTCGTGCATGGGCTTTTTGGCCTATTTTGCTTATACATTAGAGGTCTGCATCGGAAGATATTTGGCTTCACATTGAAGTTTTCTAGCGAATACGCTTCCTTCTCTTCCTCTCGAAGTACTCGACAAAAATATGTTCCGAAAAAGAGAGGAAAATAAAAGAAGAAGTAATACGTTGTGAAACTTCCGCAAGTAAAAGGTTCTTTCATGTGAAGTTTTCAAGTATTTTAGGAAGATTTCGTTTGAGAGCATAATTTATATATAAGAAATATGATATGTCTCGTGCACATAAAATATATTTACGTTTAGTTCTATACGTTTTTTATATATACATGTATATATGTACATACATACATACATATGAGTGTCTTTGAGGTATTTTTATCAGGGACGTGAACCGGATGAAAAATTTGTTTGGTTCGGTTCAGCGGGTCGAACCGTTTTTGCACTTTTGGATTGGTTCGTCAAAGCGGTTTTTTGGTCTTTGAACCGGGGTTTCGGTTCGGTTCAACGGTTCGAAAAACAAAAAAATTACGCGCAAGTTTAAGTGTCAAGTGTCAAGTGCAACAACGCGCAAGGTTAAGGGTCAAGTCTCTGTCAAATGAGATGAGTTGCCTTTACATTTGATATTGTCACATGGTAAACAAACATGATGGGTATTATCATGTTTACCAAAAAGAAAAAAAAGTGGGTACATTTATCTATTGAAAATTGGTTGAAACGAACCTTTCAATCTTTATAGAAAGTGGTTCGGTTTTCGGTTCGGATCAAACATTTGTGGAAAATTTCGGTTCGGTTAATGGTTCAGTTAATTAATAGAAAAGAGCGGTTTTCCGGTTCAAAACCGGTTCGGTTCAAAACCAGTTCACGTCCCTGATTTTTATGTCATTGCTCCATATCTACCCTCATACTAAATCAAATTTAAATATTGAAACACAACTTTGAAGGTCAGCTTTACTGCTTTCGGAAAAAAATCAAATTTTTACATACGGCAACTGTATCTGTCTGAAAATAAAGTGAATAAAATATTTAAGTGGCGTAAAATTTTGCAACGCTTTTATCGAACGAAAGGCATTTCAGTCCGCTTTTATCAAGAGGTAATATTTTTAATAGGGTTGCCACCTGCCTAAAAAGTTAAATTAAATTAACTATACAATATAGATTTTCGGGATTCTTGGGACTTATCGATATTATAATCGATATTTTCATAGGGGTTGTTATCGATATTTTTATCGATTTTGTCATCGATTATTTATCGGTTTTGTTATCGATTTTGATATCGACTATTTATCGATTTTGTTATCGATATTTTTATAGATTTTCTAATCGAATTTTGTTATCGATGTTATCAATTATTTATCGATTTTGTTATCGATATTTTTATCGATTTTCCAATCGATTTTGCTACCAATATTATTATCGATTTTCTTATCGAAATTTTTAACGAATTTGTCATCGATTTTGTAATTGATATTTTTATAGGTTTTGTTATCGATATCAAAGGTCCTTAATTTGACATCTATTTTTTTAAATTCGAGAGAACTGTGCAGATCTGATGTCCTTCACAAAAAATTGCTTCACGTATTCGAACACCCATATTTCAATACATAAATATGTATGTATTTCATACATAAGTATTGTATGTATGGAGCCTTCTCTAACCAATTTATAGTAATACCCATACTTTAATAACTGATTTAACTTAATAAATAATTGTAATTAAAATTTTTAACAGGTGGCAACACTTTAAAAAATAAAATAAAAATAAACCTTAGTACACATCTACAGGCCAAGCGCTTTAATATCACACCCCATTTTTTCAAATCGAACTTGCATTCAAAAAAAAATGTCTTCGCGTGTTATAAGTAGAAACCAAACCCATAAAGAGAACATAAAACTTCACGTGCAGTTTGACCTTCCTATGTGAAGTTTGCAAATACTACGTTCAGCTTGCTTGATACTTAAAAGCTCAAACAGTCAACGACGTAACGTAGACGTAGGTTGACGCAGGCACGATCTACCTTATGGGATTCGCGTGTTAACGAAAACTCACTACCGCATGGCGGTGACGTTGCCGTTGCTTCTCTCTCCCTCTATCAACAGTAAATTTGATTTGCTGCTACGTACGTCAACCTACGTTTACGCTACGTCGTTGACTAACTGCGCTTTAAGTATGTGAGAATAGCGGAACAGGTATTTGGTGAAGGAGAGCGCCGTCGAGTAACATCGTTCAGGTACGCTCATTTGGGATGTTCTCTACTTTTGTTTCTTTTTTTTTTGGGTACCGCAAGCACGTGCTCCTATTTGTCGATTGAATGTGAGAAGTGCAGTTTGACTGGGAACTTTGCAGCCCTCTATTAAACATACGTATCAGGGTTGTTGCGAATATTATTCCAAAATAAAAGTCCTTTCCGAATAATAAACAAACGGCCTGTCCAAATTAAACAAATTTGGTATCATATGAAAGAGGACTGAAATAGCTTTTAAACAGAAATAACGAACGACCCCTATTTACATTTTTTTTTTATAATTTAATACTAAAGAAATGCATATACCTGACACAAGGTTTGTTCTATGGTAATTAATTAACACCTTTTGTTTAAATATTTTTCAATATGTGGCTTTCCTCGTTAAGACATTTCAGTTTTAAAGCTATTTAAGTCCTCTTTCATTTAATACCAAACTTGTTAATTTGGATAAGCGGTTTGTTTATTATCCGGAAAAGACTTTTATTTCGGAATAATATTCGCAACAACCCTGATACGTATTATCCCATATAAATACTGTCCCATTGCTATTTTGATCTTCCCATATAAAAACGGACGAAGTTTTTATTTTTATATGAAATTAATGTACTGAATAATTTATGATAAACTAACAACCCATTTGCCGCCTCTTTACTAACATATTAGCAGATACACATTTTTCTAAACTAAGTCGTTCTGAAAGACTTCCTTTTTATGAAAAATTATGGAGCCAACGAACTACTTAGGGAACCTTTACTTTCACAAATTCTTCGCCAAATCGAACCTTAGTTTTTGTGTCGGTTTGGATACTTTGCATCGGTGGTCGCATGCTAACACATTAAAACAATTCAATGAGTCACACTGTGTGCGTTGATAGCACCGCCCA